ATCCCCTTACCTTGGGTGTCTGCAGGGATGGGGCACCACTACTTCTCTGGGCAACCTGGTCCACCCCTGCCCGTAGCCCTTTGCTTCCTCCTGCACGGGCACATTTGGTAGTCAGCATAAGGAAGGAGGGAATTATTGCAGCAGGAGGGGGTGAGCATCCGTGTGCAGGACCTGAAGGCTGCAGAGGTGTGTTGTGCCTTCGGGTCTCACTCACGGCCCATTGCAGAGGTCTCACATTTGCAGCCGGGTGTCCTGGCCATGCTGGGTGGCTCTGCAGCAGGGAGCAGACAGGGCAGCTCAGCCCTCAGCGCTGCTCTCAGTGCCTGCAGTTCCGTGTCGCTTCATAAATGCACTTATTGAGAGAGAAGCTGCAGCTGGCTGAGGGTGACGTGCTAGCAGTGCTGCGCTGCTGGATCGCTGCCTCTTCCCACTGCCTGATGCTGAGATTTGTCTCCTAGGCCCACCTATGGACCCGGATGAGGACTCGGACAACAGCTCAGTGTATGTGCAGGGACTCAATGATAATGTGACCCTGGAAGATCTGGCAGACTTCTTCAAACAGTGTGGGGTTGTCAAGGTGAGAGGAACGTGTGTGTGTGTGTGTGTGTGTGTGTGTGTGTGTGCACCCATTGGCCCCCAGGGACAGAGCACAGAGAAGGGGGTTGGCTGCCTCCTCCCTGCCAGCTGTCCTATTCAGTCCCACCTATGGAGCTGAGCAGCTCTGATGGGCAGTGAGGTCAGCACAGCCTGGAACTGCACTGTAGCACAAGCACCCCAACAGAACCTCTGCAGGGTTTGCCCCTCTGTGCCTCCATCAGCCATGCAGAGGCTGCAGTGCTTACAGACTCAGAGGAAGCATCCCTCTGTGCATCTGCTGCTGGTGGGATGTGTGACAGCTTGAAAGAGAAGGATGGTGGAGAAGAGCGGAGGAGGATGTGGGGAGGCTGCAGCTCAATTCCTGCACTCATGGGAGCCTGCAGGAGAGGCTGCTGGGCCAGTTCCTGCATTTGGTTGGCGTGGTGAGCCAGAGGGCCCTTTCTCCTACCACAGAGTTGCCAAGTGGAACTGTTATCTCAAATCAAAAGCAGAACAGAGGAGAGAATCCCCACTCAGTGTATACAGGGACGTGTGACTTGTAATAATGCTTTGATGTCCTGCTAGATGAACAAGAGGACTGGGCAGCCCATGATACACCTCTACATTGATAAAGAAACTGGCAAACCAAAAGGAGATGCCACGGTCTCTTACGACGACCCATCCACTGCCAAAACAGCTGTTGAATGGTTTGATGGTGAGTATGGGGTGTGATGTTTTGGGATTGTCCTTCTGCTCTGCGGTTTTCCATGTGATTATGGACTCCGTGCACTTGTGTGTGCTCTGGGAAGATGTGTGTGATACCAGGCTCTATGTGGAAACCCGCAGCACAAAATGAGGCTCTTGCCTTTGTGTTCCTCCTAGGGAAGGACTTCCAGGGCAGCAAGCTCAAAGTCAGCCTCACACGGAAGAAGGGCCCGATGAACAGCATGAGGGGCGGGATGCCCCCACGGGATCAGCGGGGAATGCCTCCCCCTCTCCGTGGAGGTAACATCCAGTTCCCTCGGGCCCCTGAGGGGCTCAGCCTGCAGCACAGCATCCTCCACCTGCAGCTGCTGCCCGGCGGTGTTAACAGGGCTCTCCTTGCAGGTCCTGGGGGGCCTGGAGGCCCGGGGGGGCCCGGTGGGCCAAGTGGTCCCATGGGCCGGATGGGAGGCAGAGGTGGCGACAGGGGAGGCTTCTCCTCCAGAGGACCACGAGGATCCAGAGGAAACCCCTCTGGAGGCAGCGTGCAGCACCGTGCCGGGGACTGGCAGTGCCCCAATCCGTAAGTACCCCCTGCCCTCCCTGCATAGAAACACCTTCCTTTCCCAGGCTGTGGCACTGCGGGGCTGTGGGACCGCTGTCCTTCATCTCAGCACAGGGGGGGCTGTGCTGGCTGAGGCATTGGCCAAGACATGCAGGTCTTTCTCCTAACAACTTGCTGGGTCTTCAGGGGAGCTTCTTTCCCCTCCCCAGAGTGTGGAGGGCCGGTGTCACAGCCCTGTGCTGCAGGCTGGGTGAGCTGGGCTGCTCGCCGTGCTCCAGGTCCCAACATCCCCCTGCTGCACGTGGGTGTTGTGTTCTGTGGTGGCCTTGCAGCACTGCTGGCTGTTACCAACCAGGAGTGCATTCCTGCTCCTTACTGACTGCTCTGTTATATGTAGGGGATGTGGAAACCAGAACTTCGCTTGGAGAACAGAGTGCAATCAGTGCAAGGCTCCTAAACCAGAAGGGTTTCTCCCACCCCCTTTCCCCCCTCCAGGTACGTGTGGTTGGGTTCACAGCAGGGCTGGGTTGGTGGCACCGGCAGTTTTGTGACTGCCGTGGGGATGTTGAGGGAGCGGCAGCTTCCTGCCCCCTGGGCAGCCATCGCTCTCAGCTGTGATGCAGGGACTGCTCTGCCTGCAGCCCTCCCACACTTAGCCGCTCTTCTGAGCTGCAGAGCCACTTCCCTGCGGCTCTCTGCAGCACGTCACTTCTCCAGAGCACTGCTTTGATCTCCTTGCTCCCCGGCACTGCCCTCAGTGAGCCCCTTGTCTCCCAGCTCTGTGATTTTCCTTACCGCTGGGTCCCCCTCCAGCTCAGCTGCTGCCATCCTGAGCCCGTGGCCGCACCGGCTGCGTGCCCAGAAGCTCATCCTTCGCTGCCCACGGGGGTCCCACCGCCCCCTGCGGCTCTCCTTCCAGCACGGCGTGCCCCCGCTGCGATGCAGCGAGCAGGAGGGAGGGCTGCGAGGCGCTCCGGCTCTCCCTGCTCTGAAGCTTTCCCTCTCCTTCAGGTGGAGACCGCGGTAGAGGCGGCCCCGGAGGAATGCGGGGCAGCAGAGGCGGCGGTATGATGGAGCGCGGCGGCCCGGGTGGGATGTTCAGAGGCGGCCGAGGCGGAGACAGAGGCGGATTCAGAGGCGGCCGGGGCATGGATCGAGGCGGCTACGGAGGAGGGGGCCGGCGAGGAGGTGGCCCCGGGGGTCCGCCCGGCCCGCTTATGGACCAGATGGGAGGAGGAGGCAGAGGCGGAAGGCGCGGAGGCCCGGGGAAGATGGACAAGTATGTGGGGAGCGGGCGGCGGGGAGAACTATGGGGGTGTGGGGGAGCCCACGGGGCACAGAGCATCGCCAGACCCGCAGGGTGGAGCTGGGAGGGACGTGGCTCTGACTGACACTGCGTGCTTCTTGCAGGGGGGAGCACCGCCAGGAGCGCAGAGACCGGCCCTACTAACGGCACAGCCCGCCCAGCTGCATTTACTACCAGATTTATTTTTTAAAACCAGAAAATGTTTTAAATTTATAATTCCATATTTATAATGTTGGCCGCAACATTATGATTATTCCTCGTCTGTACTTTAGTCTTTTTCACCGTTTGTGGAGAAACATTAAAACGAAGTTCAACGGTAGTGTGCCGACTTCTTTTTTCCTCCCCCCCCCTTTTAAGAATGGTTGTCGAACTAAAACTGACCCCCCCCCTCGTTGTGAGCATGCTCGTATCACCGCGCAGCCCCCAGCGGCGCCGACTAATAACTGTAACGATGTTAATGGTTGTGATGTTTCCTTTTTTTGGTTGTTTTTTTTCTTTTTTTTTTCTTTTTTTTTTCCTTTTTTTTTTTTTTTTTTAATTAAAATAAAATTCCAAATGTTTATAAACGTACCACTTCTGGACTCTCTTGAGAACGTTCCCCCCCCACACACCCCCTTATGCCCTCGCAGGGGTTCCCTGCTGCCCTGTGCTCCCCACGAGGATCCGTGCGCGGTGATGGATGGCAGCCGAGAGCTGCGTGCTGAGCCGCCCGTCCCGACCCGCTCAGCCCAGCACGGAGCTCCGGCACCAGGCGGACGTTCCTCTGCCCCCACGGCACCCAAAGCTGGCCGTTGTTTGCTCCGCTGCTCGGGGTGACGCCCGGGGTCCCAACGGCAGCGCCGGCAGCTCGGCCCTGCCTCGCTTTCCCCATTTCATGGGGCTGAGGCCGATCGCCGCTCCATGTGCAGCGGGGGGCAACGGGCGCCGCTCCGCATCCCGCAGCTGCGATCCCCGCGTTTGTGCCCCTGCATCCCCAACGTCCCCATCGTATTTTCGCGTCGTCCCCCCCCCCTCCGTGGCCGCGCCCCCCATCCGCAGCTCCGCAGCTCCGCCGGCCCGGCCGTGCCCCCGCCCCCGCCGCTCCCATCCCGGCCCTTTCTGGGCCGCCTCCAACTTCCCCGGCCGGGGCGCGGCGCGGCGGGGCTGCGGACGTTTTGCTCTGCGCTCCGTTCTCCGCTCCGCTCCGCTGCGCGGGGCCGCGGCGGATGGCGGCGGGGGTGCGGGGCCGGGAGGCGGCGGCGGAGCTCCCCCGACGGTCAGAGCCCGGCCCGGAGCGGGGAGCGGGCGGCGGAGCGGCGCGGCCCGGAGGGAGCGGAGCGCGGAGGCGGCGGTGAGCGCTGGGATGGGGGGGGGTTGGGGGGGAGCTGTGCGCGTGTCCCCGTGTCCTCCCCCCCATCCCCCTCCCCCCGGCCCCGCATCTGCCGCGCAGGTGCCGGCCCGCTGCCGCCATCCCCTGGGGCTGCGCTTCCCGTGGCCCCCCCGGCACGGACCCCCAAAGGAAAAGGGAAAGACCCCCCCCATCCCCCAGCAAAGAGCGCCCCAATCACAGCAGCCCCCTCAGTAACCCCTCCCCCCGTAACCCTCATACACTCCTCCCCCCCCCTGGACACAGCAAAGCCCCCCACGGGCATCGGCCCCCAAAATGTTGGAGCTGAGGTGTGGGGTGCCCCCCCCCAGGCCGGGGGTTCAGAAGTTTCCTGATGGGGAAAGGCAGGTGGGAACCCCCGCAGTGCAGCACCCCCACCCCGTGGGGTCGGCCGGGGGGGCTCCCATCACAGCCACCCCCCAGCCCTGCAGATGACACTGTGCTGGTGGTGGCCGCAGGGATTGGGCA